AGAACTGTGACTGGTGACCTGGCCCCAATTAGAGGGAGGGGAATGTTCCAGTTTAAGGTGGGAGACCTCGGTGTACCTTATGCTGCCTGGGTGGCTGGCGTGCAGTACGCCTGGACCTACCCTGGTCCTACCCTGGTCCTACCCTGGACCTGCTAAGTGGCTACTGGCAGGAACTGTGCCCTGAGTCCAGACCGAAGACAGCCTTCTGCACCAACAGGAGACTATGGCAGTTCAAAGTCCTGAGCTTTGGTCTTTGCAACGCCCCTGCCACCTTCGAGAGGATTATGGACAGTGTGCTGGCTGGTGTCCCATGGCAATGGTGTCTGGTCTACCTGGATGACCTTCTGGTACATTACAAGAGCCGCTGCAGAGATTTTTCTCAGAAAAGAAGTCACCGCTGGCAGCACATTTCAGTGACAAGGAGTGGTTTGCAAAACTCGCTTACTTATGCAATGTATTCAGCCTACGAAATGAACTCAATCTGTTCCTTTAGGGGAAAATGAAAACTGTCTTCAAGTTGGCAGATAAGGTAGCTGAATTTAACCCTCTCGAGGCAGGCCTTGCCAATTTGCAACAGTTAAAAACTAACAACCTGATTACCCCACATACATATTTTATGAGTTTTTTTTACTCAGAAGTACCACTGCAGGACTTGGTTGTGCATTAGCAACAACAAACTTAATTTGAGCCTGAGAGGGTTAAAGCCAAACTGGATTTGTGGAGACGACGCGTAAACAGAGGCATAATTGACATGTTTCAAACATTGGCAGGATTTTAGGAAGAGACTCAGCCTGAGCGCTCTTTCTCCCAGCTAGTGCACAATCACCTGTCTTGGCTTTTAAAAGGGTTCGAGCGCTAATCCCCAATCACAAAAGACCAACAAACTGACAAGGAATGAATCCACAACCCATTTGTCAATAAACCGGGTGAATCCAGTATGTCTTTGCAAGAAGAAGATCAACTGTTGGAAATCTGTCAGCCTTAAAAGTATGTTCGAGCCGTCAACTTTGCCGGTATTCTGGATAAAAATCGTGGCAGAATACCCAGTGAACAAAGTGGCAGATTGCCACAACAGCACTAAAAACCCTGTTGCCATTTCCGACATATATGTGTGAAGTGGGGTTTTCTGCAGTTACAGCTATGAAAACAAGGAGCAGACTCAGCATACCCATTACGCCCAAGGGGGACCATCTCGTTGCAGAGAAACAAGCACAGGGCTCTCACTGATTGAGCATTATGGTGAGTTATATATTTTCTTGTACTTTTGTATTTGTTTTGTAGTTGTGTCTTATTTTGAAATAAATATTTACGTGTTACCATAGCGAACAAAAAGCATTAAGGGGCAGAGAGGAGGATTGTCAAGTGTAGTAAAGGGGACTCAGGCACAGACTGGGATTCTGAGTTCAAACACAGGTTTAATTACACAGTCACCAGGTGCACAGTATATACAGTGGGGGAAATCCAGTGATCCAAGGTTTCAAAAGGGGAAATAAGCCGGCTGGAAGGCAGTGGAGCTCTGAGGAGAAGATAAATAGCACAATCATACGGGCGGTGAGCAGGGAGCGAGCGCGCCCGATCTTTGCAAAAGACCTCCCCTAAGTCGTGATAAATCCGCGGGACTGCTGAAAGGTCCTAAGAGTCGGGCAACGCATCCGTGTTCAGTAGTGGGATGGAAGACAATGCTTATGACTCCACCCCGTAATTTTCCCCTTTTCCCAGTCAATTTGTGTGTTGTGGTGCACTAGCCAGGGATAGCCTAAGAAAAGTGGTGTGAGTAGCGCCCTAAACGCGGAAAAACAAATCTGCTCCCAAAAGGGAGAGGGAAAGTGGTTCCGAAACATGGGCTATATCGGGTAGACGCTGACCTGACAGTGTGTGAACATGAAAAGGGTTTGGCAGTGCTTCTAGCAAGATATTTAATTTAGTAGCGAGAGAGGTGTCAATAAAATTTTGCTCCACTCCAGAGTCCACGAGAACAGAGAGAGAACGGGTGACAATCTGAACAGAAAGTTTAGCCAGCAAGAGAAGTATGGGGAGAGAGTTACTACTCGCCAGGTTGCCCACCATCTCTATTACTGGTTGGCGCGCCCTTTTGCCAGTGTTGGGCAGATGGAAACTGAATGGCCCTTGTGGTTGCAATAAACGCACTCACCGGCGATGAAACAGTGTTGGTGCTGCGCGGGCGAAAGCCGAGAGCATCTGCATGGGTTCCTCCTCCTCTTCACTGGGGTCAGACTTGCGCAGCCCTTGAGCCTCTGTGGAGGCTCCGTGAAGCCCCAGAGGTTCGTAACCCACACGTGCACATGTACTCCGGTGCGCACATACTCGATCATCCACCCGTAAACACAGTGTCATGAGGGCATGTAGGGAAGAAGGCAATTCACAAAGCCTTAGTTTATCTTTGAGTTCATCATTGATGTTGGTGAGTAATGCGCTTTTGAGTGCCTCTTGCACCAACCCTGTCTGCTCAGCCAAGGTAAAAAAAATCAGTGGAATAATCCTCCAACACTGGGCTCTGTGCGTTGGGCGCTGGCCTCTGCCTGTGCCCATGTCAGTGTGTAGTAACTGTACAATATAAGCAATCTTAGCACCATCGTTAGAAAAAACTTGCAGCTACTGACGGAACTGCAGAGAACATTGAGTGAGAAAACCAGCACATTTACCGAGCTCCCCAGAAAATGCTCTGGGTGTAGGGAGAAATCTGTCTAACAGGACAGGTGCAGGAGCAGATGGTATGGCACTTACAGTAGGTACTGGTGTCTCCTGCAGGGGTGTGGCAGCCGGTGGATTCTCCACCAGAGATGTTCGCTGGGCCACAGCCTGCTTGAAGTTCACAAGTTCTTCTCGAATAGGAGCAAACATTTGGTCATGACACTCCATCATAGCTGCCAATGTGGCGAGAGTGTGGGTTGAAGCCACTGAATCTGCTGAGTCCAATTTGTGGCTGGATGATTCTGTCACGTGTGGTAAAGGGGACTCAGGTGCAAACGGGGATTCTCAGTTCAAACACAGGTTTATTTACACAGTCACCAGGTGCACAGTATATACAGTGGGGGAAAACCAGGGATCTAATGGTCCAAAAGTGGAAGTCTGGGAAAGGGAAGGCTCTCTCACACTCGTACTCCACTTTCTCACTCCAACTCACGCACGTCCCAAGCAGCGGGTAGGTCACAGGTCCAGGAAACTGCACACAGAAGAGGGTGGTTACACGAAGTCACAAACTAACACTAATCGAACGTTCACGAGGGCTCGGGTGGATCACTAACGTGCCTCGCACAATCATCCAGCGGTGAGAGGATCTTTGTCCCGGTCTTAAATGCCAAACACACAGCAGCATAATGAGAAACAGGTGCGTGGGCCAAAAGCGGAAGCCCACAGTGAGCTCCGCCCAGACAAAGCGACTAGGGAGGGAGAGAGCAAAACAATAAACACGTAGCCTTGCGGGGCCAAGCACAGGGACCATGACAAGAATGTTACTCTCAGTGTTGTTGGCACTTATCAGGAGGACACTGCTAATAAAGTTACACAATTACAGACTTTTAATATTATATCTACAAAATACAACAGTTTTTTATCTTGGTCGTAGAATTTTATTTTGTTGTATTTATCCGCAACACCTTAAAGACCGGTCCATGAAAATATTGTCTGACATTAAACCGGTCCGTGGTGCAAAAAAGATTGGGGACCGCTGCTATAGAGGACAATCCCTCTGGATTTTAACGCCTACCTCTTTCTCTAGGGTAGGCGTTCAAAGCCCCCATGAGCCTGCACAGAGGGTTAAAGGCCCCCCCAACAACAAGTTGGGGGGGGGGGGCTTTAACCTTTTTACCAACCTTTAACCTTGGTAAAAAGGTTAAAGGTTATTTTACTGTGTTAGGTTGGCTATCTCTGTGCACTGTTGTTGTTTCTTTAAGATACATGTTTGGTTGTGATGCAGGAAGAAGTGAGTTAGTGTGTGCGGGAAGGGGAGTGGGGGTTCTTGTTGTTGTTGTCCAAAGCTGGAGGGAGTTGAGCTATACCTATAATGAACATTACAGGCCTCTCTCATCTTTTTAAGTGGGAGAACTTGCACAATTGGTGGCTGACTAAATACGGTTTTGCCCCACTATATGTTTCTTAGTGAACATCAGTTCCAGAAAGACCAAATACCCTGGAATATAACATAACAGTATGAAACCATATTTATTGCTTTGTTTATTTAGACAATGTATTTTTTTTAGTTGCGTATAAGCTTAAATAAAAAAAAATATCTGGACGTTTTCTACTGTATATGAAAAATCTTTTGTGTTCCATTGCGGCGAGCCATTATAGCTTTCTTTGTGTTCAACTCTGGTCTCAAAATGATTATGTAACATTTGGGTCCAAACAGTGTGATTAAGAGTCCAAAACTTGAGGCCAGGATGGCAAATACCTCCACTGCATCTGCATAATTTCCTGGTGAGCTGATATAAACAGGAACAAAGGCCACCCACACAGCACAGAAGATCAGCATGCTGAATGTGATGAGCTTGGCCTCATTAAAACTATCAGGGAGATTCCTCACCAGGAATGCAATTAGAAAACTGAGGAAAGCCAGCATGCCAATATAACCCAATAACACTGCAAAACCAACAGTGGACCCAACTGCACACTCATAAATGATCTTATCATTGTGGTATAAGGTGTTTTTATGTGGAAATGGAGAGGAAGAGACAAGCCAGGCAGTGCAGATGGCTGCCTGAATAGCTGTAAGAAACACAACTGTTCCTCTCTGCTGCATTGCACCAAACCACTTCAGACTGGCTCCCCCTCCTGGCTTGGAGGCTTTGAACACAGCCAGAACAACCATGGTTTTTACCAGGATGCATGAGACACAAAGCACAAAGCTGATCCCAAATGCTGCATGCCTGAGTTGGCATGTCCAAAGCCTGGGTCGTCCGATGAACAGCAGTGAACAAAGGAAACACAACTTGAGTGACAGCAATAGCTGAAAACTAAGTTCTGAATTGTTGGCACGTATTATAGGTGTTCTGCGATGGTAGAAAAAGATTCCTAGAACAATAACACATATAAATGTTCCCAGCAGTGAAGTTGCTGTCAAGCAAATACCCAGAGGCTCATGGTAGGAGAGAAACTCTGTCTTCTTAGGAACACAGTGGTCACGCTGGGGGTTTGACCAAAAATCCTCTGGACAACTGGTGCACTCCAAGGAATCTACAAAAAGGGGGAAGATGGTATCATACATACTATGTTTAATATGAATCAAATTAAATATGCAGTGGTGAAAGATAAAAACTTACTGCTCTTGTTAGTGGTTTTTCCCTCAGAACAAGGGATGCAGTCAAAACAGCATTTGGGTTCCTCCTTCTTTCTCACCATGTGGGTACCAGGAGGACAGCTCTCACTACATACTGATCGAGGTGGCTATTGGATGAAATTAAATATTACCTGCCAGAATTACATATATTATGTAATACATATATGTGCCAAAATATAAAAGTCTAAAAACCATATCTAACCTTTTTGGATTCAAAGTTCCAGAAGATTTTGTCTTCATCAAGTATGAGTTCTTCACCTCTGAAAGCGGACCTCTTAACCTCACCCACAGTTTGAATTTTAATGTTTCCATCAGGGAGCCACACCCAGTTCATCACATCATAAATTGGCACCACATCACCATTCTCATCGAATGACACTTGATCACCAAATGGAGTGGTAAAATTGACCATTTCCAAATAATAAATAAGCTGTTAAAAAGGGATTTATAATAAATAAATTACTTTTCATAGTGCAAACAGTGGCACCTGGTATTAAATAATCAAATATAACATTAAATCTGTTTTATATAAACATATAAAATTATTACAATCTAACTCAAAATCAATACAGAAATCATTACACAGTGGATGTCCTTATATTACCTCACATTTTACAATCTTATTCTTTGAAAAAAAAAACAATAATGTCAAAGACAATCCTTGCTAAGGGTTTGTCTTATTTTCACCTTTCACTGTCTGAATTTCTCAAACAGAATTAAAAGCCAAGCATCTCTGTCGTTCACCTGTGGAAACTTGTTTCACAATGTTCAGGACACAAACTCCTTAAGTGTAGAAGCAAGTATTTGGTGCAGAAAGCAGGTTTCTTCATTTTTCTTTTTGCACATCACTAATACTGCTGTATATGCATACTGGTTTATGATCTCTCAGATCTAAATATATTAACCATTACTCCAGTTCAGAAGGATGAAAACATCTTTTTAGCTCATTCAAACTTTTTCATGGTTTGTCTTTCGTATTTACTCTACTGTGTACATTCTGTTCTGAAAGTAATTATAGGGCAAAAGATTTTCTCATTTAATGGAGTGCAATTTGATATCAAACCTGCCACGGTTCCAATGTTTGCAATGTGGCACAGCTGTGGCCACGGAAAGGTCCTCTTCCTGGCTTGCACCGTAACATGTCATCAAGGGAATATGCTAAAGCATATACAGCTTTGTACACATTGTATTCTGGCCGGAGGTTGGAAATATCCAAAAACTCAGAGTCCACATTGTCCAGATCTTCCTCTCCAGTGCATAATGTACCTCTACCTTCTACCCAGCCTGTTGGAGCTGGTGCAAATCTGCACTTAAATGTGAATTCCCAAAACTGATTCACCTGAAATTTATTGAAAATGATTTTTACAAATAATAAAAATATATACATCTTGGACATATGATAAGAAAGAGTTCAGCTCTCACCATGCTATTTCCATAGCTGTTATTGTGATGTAGGTCAGGGCGTATTTGTAAGAGGAATTCCCTGAGCCCTGGTATTTCTCCTCGACGAATTGCAATGCCTAGAGTTCCACCCAGATATGGCATGAGCTGAGGTGTTTGGAGCACAGTAGCTTCTGTCCAGGCTTCACTGGCCATCCACTGTAGGCCAGTTAGATTTTGCCTCACTACCTGTGCATTGTATTATACAAAATCTGTAATGTGATATTGTAGCTCAAAACTACTTTAGTGACATAATATTACAGTAGATGCAGTAGATGCTCATGATGCAAATTAATTCTACATGACTAGTTTTTACTACACATTCACACAGACATATAAAACATGTTTTGCACAGTCTAATGATTTTTATTCTTGCAACTAGTAATAATTAAATTGTTTTAAACCCAAACCTCTTCCATAAGGTTTACTATGCGACTATGATGTGCAAAGACAATGACAACTCGAGCAGAGGACTTTTTCATCACATTCACAATCCTCCTGAGTTCATCCATGTCTTTGTCCCAGGGCAAAATCTCAAAGTAAGCCAGGCATCCTTCACCCGACAGACTGAGATCAGATTGCAAAGATCTTGCTGCGTGAAGTCCGTAATCATCATCACTGACAAGAAGACCTGCCCAAGTCCAGCCAAAATGCTTTAGAATCTGAATCATAGCACGTACCTATGTAAATACAAATTAAAAGGTGAGCGCAAAGACAAACAAATCTTTCATACCAGTATTTGCAGATCAACTCCCACAGCACACAGGTAGAATTTTTTTTTACATCATTATACATTCTGTTAAAAAACAGGTATTTTATTCCTGAAAATACTTTTGTTGTTGCATTAATAATTCAGTGACAAATGTGAAATTGTGCTCCTGACCTGGAAAGCATCACTTGGTATTGTTCTAAAGAAGGATGGATACTTTTGACGGTCAGTTAGGCAGGAACAAGTGGCAAAATAACTCACCTGTGAAAAATACACATTATGTATAAATATCCAAAGTCTGTACTCCTTTATTATTTTTATCATGTTAGCTCTATTATTAAGTGGCTTTATATTTGCTATGAAATCAAAATAATACAAGGTATCTATTACAAGATTAAGAAGACCACTTACCATGGGTACTCTGTACAAACCTAAGACGTTGGAAATGGCAATAGAATGTGTAGAGGAAGAATCACCCACAATCCCTATGACTGGAAGATTTCCAGTACATCTGTTATCTAATATAATTTTTTCCTCTTGACCGCTGGCTAATGACAATGCTGCACGGAATCCAATTCCAAGTGTGACACAGTTATCATAAAGAGTATATCCAAGAGTGACATTTGGCAGCAGGTTGGAGTTTCTGTTGATCTCATCAATAGCAAAGGCCATGGTTTGTGCCTGCCTAAATCCTAGTTCATAAAAACTAACAAAGAAAAATACAACAGAATACTTGGAAAACATGTTACTCAAATACTGTTATAAACCACAATTGAAGGGATTTTTAATGGCAAAAAAAATACAAAGAAGATGTTTCATTCAAGACAAGGCATTTTTTCAAATGTATTAATGCAGAGAGTACCAGATATAAGATGCATATCAATAATAGGTTTTCGCTTTCGTTTTCACTTTTTTTCCTGACATACTTACCCATGGCAAGTAGGCTGTTGTGGCTGGGAGGTAAAAGACAGGTCAGCAACGCTTGAAAAAAAGTGGACTTGAAACAGTCCACCCAGAATGACATCTCCACTCTTGTGTATGCCATTTAGATGAAATTGTCTCTGTAACTGACAGGAGGAGGGAAACAGAGGCGAGGCTACAGCAGAAGAAAAATAGGAATACAGCAAAATGAATAAGAGCAAGTTGGTTTGTAATAATGACCACATGACAGCTTTTTGACTTTCTGAGTCTAGTCGTTAGGTTTTATTGTTTTGCCATTCCCTTTTATTGACATGCTGTGTTGACTAATCTTGCATACCACCCATAAGGGAAAAACAAGGAGCAGTGGCAGGAGCTAAAGGACATGTCATTTGAGATTACGTTTAAAGGTAGACCTCGATAACACTGCAAGTTAATTAGTTATCAACAAGGACTCAGCTCTTTTGTGTTTTTGTTTTGTTAATTTAATTTTTATATTATTTAGTCAATATAAAGGAAGAATTAATAGTCTTGTGGTTGGAATGTCCTAAAATCCAGGACTTTTGGAAAGATGTTATCAAATATCTGTCCAAAGTGTTTAAGGTAAAAATCCCTTTAAAAGGAAAACTCTGTGTACTTGAAATATATCCAAGGGAATTTAAGCAATCGGGAAAAAAAACTAAATTACTGGACTATGGACTACTTCAAGCCAGAAGAGCCATT